AATATATATATATATATATTTTTTTAAGCTCTCCCCTCACTGTGCTGTAACTTAACTCTACTGAGTTGCCTCTCCCTAGGAGACTGGTGGTTGAGTCCCATGCTGTCCAATCCCAGGTCCTCTCCTGAGCAAAATCCACATCAACTGTGATGAATTAGGTGTTGTGACTGTGTAATGCAAGCTGATATTCCCCAAGGAAACGAGCTGAGATCTCAAAACTCATTTCACTTGATTAGACTTTGCGTCTCAGTGGTAGAAGGCAAGTCTTTCATCTAATTTAATCACACAGGACCACCTCAGCTTTCCACATCCCCCAGGCAGACGCAAGCAAAAAGATTTGTTTTGTTCACTGACAAGGAACAGGTTTAAAGCAGACGATTGGACAAAATATGGGTCTTTAAGTTTCATAAGGGTAAATCCTAAAATGAGTTGTTTGGGTTGGGAGTTAACATGACACGCATCAGTTTCATAGCTACAAATAGTAATTCCCCATCGTCCTTCCATCAGACTTCAATATTTTATTATTGCTCAGTAAATACATTTTAATACATACTAATTCACAAAGCTCACTCAGAACTTCTCTAAGCCAAGACTACTCTTTAGCCAAATATTTCTCAAGAATAATTTTTCTTTCCACTATTCACAAAATTTATTGTTCAAAGGACAAGACTCTCAAACTTGCTTACATCCATCTAAAAGGATGGGGGGGGTTTTGTGTGTTCATTTGTTTTTGAGTCCAAATGAAAAACAATCAAACAAAAAAGCAGTCATCCTCTGCTTTTCATTTAACCTTGAGTAACACAGCTTTACTCAAATCTTTTGGAAGCTAATATAAAGAAAAACCTTATATGAGCATTTTTCTATTTGCCTTCTAGGCCCACCAAAGCCACTGGTCCAGGCAGCCCACCAGGCAACAAGTAAACGCCCTAAACAAGAGCAGACAAGCAGAAACGAGGAGGTAACAGTTAATCATACAACTTGAAGGTTCTGCAGAATTTTAAAACATATTTTGAAATAAATAATATATGCCATATCTGACTGGCCCACAGCCTAGCAATCCATAATCATTTATCTTTTTGCAAATGTCACATCTTAAATAGATCATAAAAGACTGGAAAGAGAAGAAGTGGAAGCATTAATAATTGCTTCAGGGAATCACTCCCTGTTTAGGGGGAGGCCTAGACCAAAACGTAGGTATGTTTATGAAGAAACATAGGTCTTCAAGGATATCAGCTGCGGAGGAAGAAAAAAAAAAGTTGAGGACAGGAAGAGGCACTAAGAGCTGAACCAACACTTAAGAACAGTATCATCTACAATGCTTACAAGGGAGAACTGACAGTAAAGTCTGTATAAAGTGGATGCAATACAGTCACTTCATTAGAATGAGCAAACTCCAGCTTTTATGAGATATTACTAAGAATACGTGAGCCAGACCTTTCTCCTCTTCCCCTTTCTCCACTAACAACTACACTGCACAGCTCAAATATTTCAGAGTAACTGAGTTTTCCCAAAGCATCCTGTAATTTTGGGACTGCAGAACACCCTGCAGCAGGGTACCACTACAACCCCTTCTGGGTAAGAACAAACAGGAGCATTTAAGGAGCAGGAGGTGATATACTAAAATCAACCTGCAGTCTAAGAGAGTTGAGCGCAGGGCATTCCCAGTCGGTGAATACAGCTAGCTTTCCTCTACATCTGAAGGAACTCATTGATTCAGCACTGTTACTCATTTCTTACATGCTTCATGCCTCAGCATAATTCAATAGCACTTCTCTACCTTACAAAAAAGTGCAAAGGTAAAAAAAAAAAAACAAAAAACCAAAAAAACCTCAACTCTCCCCTTTATCTTGCTAATGAATCAAAGTAACGTCCTTCCTTAGGATGGGACCTGTGACTTTGTACGTATTTCTTTTGGAAGCTTAGGGATATCAACACAATGATCTGGGCAAGAGCTGCTACTAATTCAAAGCATACAATGCCATAAAACAAAATGTTACCTCTATGACAGTAATGTTTCTTCCTAATTCTGTAAGCAGAGAGAAAGAGGGAATATCCCTATATACCATAAATAGATTTCTGACTGTGCTTGTTTAAAGTCTGGTATTCAAAAGGTCCATTCTGCAATTGTCTAGAAAGTTTTGCAATTAATTCTTGTGATCTTAATAATCAGGAACGAGTTTCCTACTGTTCCTCCACAGAAAGGATTTACAGCATTGAATTTTCTCATTTGCAACACACAAGCAATTCCCTGGGAAGCAAAACAATTACTGGACAGAACAGATGAGTTCATATTAAAAAAAAAGATGCTGTTGCTGAATTAGAGTAATTTGATGTTTCATTTTTATTTTGATAAGAAGCGTCAGTTTGAAAAACCACAGAGACTACATTAAAACCAAGGGGCTTTCAGTGCTGTGGTGGCTGTGATGGTTTATGGGTGTACGTAAGGGAAGATTTATTAGGGGATGGGATAGCTGTTATTAGAACAACTGATACAGTTGGAAAAGGCTTTGAGCACATAAAACCCTTTATATGTTATATAAAATGTACATGTTATACGGAAACACTGATGTGTTTGTGTGCAAAAGCCCTTCTCTTCAGGTTTCTGTTCCAGATTTGAAGGGTTTTATATGATTGAAGTATATCTGTCTAATAAAAGATATTACCTTTCCCGGCAAACACTGTCTCACTTCAATACATTTTTTTTTTACACTACTTTTTTTTTTTTTGTTAGAAATGAGCTCCTCGGTGTGCTCATAAGCACTATGTGATACATCTCAATTCATATCTACTAAAGAATAATATATAGAGCAATTTCAGTCTCAAAAACTACTGATAGAAATTACAGACAACAATTCAGGCTTCTGAGGTAAAAACAAAACTCTGATTCACTCAGAATAAACAGAATCAGGAAGATAACAGTTATTCTACACTGTCCACTTTATGGGCTAACAGTTCATAACATAGCCTATTCTAACATATACAACACGGCTATAATCTAAGATTACTACAGATGTAATTGCCAAAAAAGCACAAAAGAAAATAAAAATAAAAATAGAGACTGTTGTTTCTAAGTCCATTGGATAGTAATACCATCAGGGGAAAAAGTATCTAAATTTGACTACTCTTTTCCCTGCCTTGCCTTCCAGGCAAGTGCTGCCAAATATGTAGTGTATGGAGATAAACAGATTGTAGATTAGCACTTCTAGCAAAAGCTGAGCATCTGCCCTTGAGAATGCAAGGTCATTACACAGTTTTAGCATCTTCAAAGTTCGGGGGGAGCATTAAGCTTTCTGACTGCTGCCCACAACGGAGTCAAAGTTGTAAAGTGGCTGCCCTTTGCTATCAGCAGAAAAACTTTCAAGAAATCCATTTACACCTCTGATGTGAAAGACTGACTGAATATATTTCAATGATTTTAGTGGAAAGGGAGGAAAAAGATCTCAGGCTGACCTGAAACACTGATACCAAATTGGCATCTGCATAGCCATATTAGATACCTGAAAACGCACTTCTTTTTCAGTAAGGGTCATGAAACATGTCTTAATTAAGAGTTTAAGTGCACACGTGCATGTGTGTGTGTGCACATGGCATGCACAGGCACATACATTTTAACAGGAATGAGATACCAGGAGATGCATTTAACTTTTCTTCTTTGTAAGATGTTAAGAAGTTTTCTACATGTTTCATCCAGCATAGCATTACTGTAGAGCAATATTAAAAGTTGTTCTCTTGTCCAAGAGAATATGTAGAATCAATACTGACAAATTGGTTAGCAAAAAGAAGCAACATAACAGATTTGAATCTGTGATGGAAAATCATTAAGAAAGAAATTATGCAAATAGTTAGAACAAGGCGGGCACAGATCCAGAGGGACACATGGCAGAAGAGGAGTAAGGATTATTGTAATGAGGCATGAAATACATGTGAACTTTCCTTGGTTTCCTTTACCCACAAATTTCCCAGGCAATTTTTCTTCATTCTTACAGGTCATCAATATGACACACATGTGGCAATCATCAGTGGAAAAACTCTTAACCAAAGTAGCTTCTGATTTGTCTTAAGAAGTAGGATTAGCATGAAAAAAGTTATTTGTAATTAAGGCAGTGAACCAATGCGTATTTTCTGAAATCAATTATCCGTTCCTGTACACAAAGCTACGGGTGTGTTTGAATGCTTCACTGAAGTAGGGCACAAAAGGAGCAAAAGTTTAAGCAGCACTAATTCATACACTAAAAAAAGGTTACTTTAAAAGTTAACCGGTCAACATTTCCTTTTGCACTGCCAGGCTAATGTCTGAGAAAAATGGCTATGAACTCTGCATAATTTCATTAGAGGAAAAACCTGAATGAGAACTGAAATTCAATCTTCATCTGTGTACACCAGCTTTTCTTAAAATGTTATTTCAAGAGTCACTGGCTATTTGGAAAAGAGAAAACAACCAAAATACCCGGACAAAACAACCCACCACAACCAATCTGTGCATTTTTGGTGCTCACAGCAGAATTAGACTTCAACTTGAAACAGCTATTACTTCTATTTCTTATGCTGTTTGCTTCCTTGCTTTTTATGAATGGAAGCATTATTTTTAATTACATTTTTTCTATTTTATTTTTGACAAAT